AGAGAAGGGAGGGGACAAATAACTACGACCTGGGGCTTCAGCGAGAATGAGAAGGGCGGTGATGTAATTTCTTATTATGACAGATTGTTGCTCGTCTCCCTTTACAGTCATAAGGAAATGTGGTGTTTCATTTCTCAAGCTACTTCACAGGGTACTACGGTACCGTAATTTAGAAGTCCTAGCTTGCCTTTCCTACTGCCAGCGTGCAGGGGACCAGGCGGCCTTCTTGGTAGAGACTTAGTAGGGCCCAAGATCTAGTGTGTTTCTGGATAGGAGTTCATGGAAAACGTGAATCCAGTTTTCTTGACTTGAAAAAAATTACTAGAGGCCATTCCTGTACTTAAATAACAGGAGTTGCTGGCATAAGAAGTATCTCCCTTGGTATGATGCTGTCTGACCTGTTCAGTGTGCTAATGCAGCACCTCATTGTTTGGGTGCTTCTGTGAATACAAACATGTCTGTGGCTTTGTGATATGGAATAGTAATAAAGCCTAGACCAGCACTGACTGCTGCTGACGAAACAGTATGAGGTCTCGTGCACAGCAGCTGATGTGGTTGATCGACAACCATAGTGTATTTGTTAGCTGTAACTTACGAACCCAAATCCCAAAAAATATTCTCTGTGCAAACTTAGTGAGCTCTTCATTTTAGAAAGAATCCTGTTCAGCTAGTCTTGGCACTCTGAACTTGAAATTTGAAGTGCCAGTTTGATCTGATTGCGAGGGGCCTGTGAGTGATGCGGTGTGGCATCCAAGTTTGTCTTCTAGGCTATGTTCTTCTGCGGTCAGTTCACTGTATAAATTAAAAGCATGGCAGACTTGCCCTGTTGGACTGCTAACATCTGGTAACATCTGACACATGAGCATACTAATTCTTGTGACTACAGCTTAAATACCTGTGAGTGCAGAAAGCTCCTTAAAGTTAAGATGATCTAAGTGCCTTATTCAGGTCCTGGAGATGAAACAGTGTGTGTGTTCAACCTGCAATTCTTACTCCAATTTGCATCTTTCCAATTCTCTGTTTATGGAAGGCTGGAAGGGGTGAACTTCTTGAGTAATGTTTGAGGTTTTTGATACAGGCTTGAACAGCTTAAGAATGGAGGGTCAATAAGCCTGGCTCTGGAGCAAGAGCCTGCTCTAACTTCAGGTGGGCTAGGCTTCCGCTATCCTCCTAGCTATGAGCATCGATTAATTGTGTGCTTTATTTAAAGCACAGTTTTGGTGCTCATCCATGGAGAGCAAGAAGTCAACGGTCAGGCTGACAACAAGATTTTAACATCAGCAACACCCAGCGTATTCAAGTACAGTGCAGCTAGGATTTCTGGGTTAACTCTGTCTTTCAGTAAAGCAGATTTTTATTCTTCTCTGATACAAAGAAGAAAACCCCTTCTTTCACTACCTGCAAAAGCTTCTGTGAATGACACCTGTAAAGTGATGTGAATGTGACAGCTAGGAAAGGGGCCACATCCTGCTAACATACCTCTTCAGAAACTGAGTAGCTTCTGAAGAATGGCTACTTTCAGGGTGCTCTGCTAGTCCTTCTCGGGTCCCCGCTTGTGGGCAGAAGGAGCAGTACTTCAGCTGGCTGAAGTGTGTGGTCTCGACATGAGCAACTCGCATAACAGGGTTTGACTGTGGAACATAATGCCTTTTATAGCAGAAGCTAATGGGGTATGTAAACTGTTAAAAAGCTGGCATTGCCAAAGCTTTCCTCTTCACTCTGGCTGCCTCTCTGTTATTTGAGTCAAAGGAAATATTGAAAACTTCAGATACAGGTGATAGTTTCAGAAGTGGCATCTGCTAGGGACTTCAGGCAGTCGAGCCTTCGGTCTGTTTATGCTAGCTTCTGTATTAAAAAAACGAAACCACTAAATTATGTAGTAACCATTGGCAGTCAGCTGACGACTGGGTTAATCCAGTTCAAGGGTGACTGGATGTGTGCTGGAAATCATGTTTACAACTGAGGTCTGCACCATCTGGTAGATTTGATTAAAGCTACCTTATCTATTGCTGGGAGCCATAGACTCCTTTCAGCACTGCCTGTGGTCAGTAGCCTCCAGCTTGAGGTGTTACCCCGTGCTGGGAATCCCTCCTATGCTAGAGGCTTTCATTACTAGAGCCTTTTCTCTTATTTGGCCCTTGGATACAGAGGCCTTCTACCAGTGCATTTGTTGAATGCAGCATGTGCTTTTCTGCTGGAGGACAGTACAAGCAAAATGAGGTGTTCTGTGTGCTCAGGAAAGTTGTAGTTAAATGTTAAAAAAAAAAACAAACAACTGGTCAGAGGCTTCTCCCTGTAAGGTGCTACCCAAAGAAAATATTTGTTAACAAAGTTGAAAGATCCTCTAATAGCGTGTCCAAATGGTCTTGTGATGCGAGGTTCCCCTTCTGTTAAAAGAGATTGCTTGTTTATTTTTTATATGAAAGCTTGTCACTTCACATGAAACACAGCTATGGAATTCAATCAGACAGGTAGAGTAGCTTGTTTTGCCTCTACTACTGTCTTCCTTCCTCCAGGGAAGTTAAGCCCTCTGGGAAAACTTCCGTGACTTCTCTCTAGTTCAGTATTTTTTTAACTTGCCAAGAGTAAGCACCTTTGGACCCTGCATCCCTTTTCAATCTCCCACAGCAATTTTAGCTGATACTAGAGATGGCTTGCAGGGTAACACCTGATTGTAGTCAGGACCATGTCTCCAGGGGTGTATGGTGTGTGACCAACTGTAGATATGCCTTCCCACTTTCCCCTTGTTCTGTCCAGCAGCAAACCTGAGGTGTGTGGCCATATGAGGAACACACTCCAGGGTTGGACTTCCTTTTGCAGAATACAGTAGTTATGCAGCTGGACAAAAGACTTAAGGGTAAGAAGAGGATGGTCTAGCTGGCAGGTGTGGGAAGTGGAACTGGTCAAGAGATGGTGATGTTACAATGCAGAGGTGTGAGAAGCTATACCAAAAACCAAGCTGTAGGATTTGAAGGTGGGGAGGAGTGAGGTGAAGTTTGGCTGAGGAACTTCTGGTATAAGTAGATGCAGGGAGCAGCTAGCGTGAATCGATGTGTACAGGGACATGGAACTTCGTTGGTGGGAATGGGGTGCTTTTGCGAATGGGGAGCAGGAATTCAAACTAATGCATACAGGAGTGGGGGAATGCGGAGAGACAGGAAAACTTACTGTTCCCATCTCCTTCAGACTGAGAGTAGGTGGTATGGGGTGCTAGCTACTGATCTTACAGCGGAGTAGACTCTGTGAATATCCAAGATCCAAGAATGGAAGAACTCAACAGGTGGAGGCCATGCTTCTGAAGGTAGCTGTGTTGGGAGGGAAAACGTCTTATCGATGGAGATGTAATGCTGGGTGCATTTGAAGTTAGAGGAACTTATGAAGACTTTCACACAGGTTTATACGTAAGAATGCTGGTGCAGGATCCTCTGCTTGCTTGTTGAATGTACTTCTGGCCAGTTTGACTGTGTGCACTCTTGCCTCCTCACCTGCGTGGCATTCTTCAATGGGGGGAACAGCTTACTACAGTAGAGTCGCAACTTACTGTGGCTGATTGCAGAAGCAAGCATTGGTAAACTCGTGCACTGCAAAACCAACCACTGTGTACGTGTGGCAGCAACCATATTGCTTTCAGTTAGCTGTTGCTGACAACTCTAATGCTCTGGTCTGTTAAGTTGGGGAGAAAAAAGCAGCTATCTTTTTACGCATAATCCAAAACTAAGTTTATATAAATGGCCCTCTTGAAGCTTGCATTGTTGTGAGAGTGAAGTTGAGGAATGCTGAACTGGCTTGTACTTGCTTTGGAAAAGAAACTGTCAGGAAGTAGCTGGCTAGCATTTTCTGCTTCAGCCTGAGATACTTGTTTGCCTCTTGCTAGCATGCAAGTATTTATGGCTTTTAACGTCTTTCAGTTCTGCTAAAACATTCACTTTTTTGACCAGAAAACATGGTTAATTGCATGTAGAGAGCTCTAAATTCCAAAGAACATTGCCCAAAAATGACTGATGTGACTAAATGCAACTGATAAACTCAAAGCTCTATTTAAGTATTGGGTGTTCCTTGGGTAGTCTGTATGTGTAGCATTGCTTTGGCTAGTGATATTATGTGTTGATTCACTTGGCAAAATTAAAATAACTATCCTATGAGGTTGCTTTAGAAAACATGCTGTGGAGTAAACCACACAGCATCATTTTGATGTTAGCCATTGACTGGAAAAGGCATCAAACTGGAGGACTGTTCAAATGTTTGTGTCCTTTTCAAATTCTGCAGAGGAAAGTCTGTCCCAGAAGAAAATGGAAGTCTTCCTGCCAAGACAGAAATGAGAAAACAAATTATTAAAAACCATAAGGATCACATTCAGGGACTAACACTAAACAGAGCTGCCAGAGTTGAGGATCATAGACTAGATGAATTTCTAGCTTACGTTTCCACAATTCAGTGAGTCGGGGTGAATGAGTGTTGCAATGTTTTCTAACTGAAGAGTCTTAAGACACTGGCTGATGCTAGCACTGATGAAAGCTATTCATACTGAAGCACTTATATGATGGTACAAATACCCCAGTTAAGTGTTAAAGAGCTACCAAAATGGTTAGTATGTTAAGGCTGAGAGCAAGCTAGCTTTGGGATTAGTCTAAATTGTTTCAGAAAGGAGGGGGGAAAATGATTAATGCGCTCAATTTTTTTTATAGACTGAATTTGAGGCAGAACTGAAATCTGCTGGTGAGAAGCTTATAGTGGTTGACTTCTCTGCCACGTGGTGTGGACCATGCAAAATGATCAAGCCCTTTTTCCACGTAAGTAGCCTTTCTGTTTTTGTTGGCAACAGTATTAAAATATATGCAGATATTTTTGTGCTGCTTGATGATAACATGGAGGAAACTTCATTTTACCCCATGTGATGGCCAGCACTTTCTGGAAAAGGGAGAAGTTAGAGAATTATTTACTTTGAGACAATCGAGTTAAATATACTGACCTTTGATACAGCTGGGAGCTCAAATGTGGTTTGTCTTCTGATGTCCTCATGCTTACATACATCTCAAGTCTGTAGGGACCCAACAGTTGAATTGCCTCAAGAGGTGGGATACAGAGCAGAAACAATGCTTATCCTTCTGTACAGAGCTACTGTGACCACTCCAGCTGCACTTAGGTGGCAACGTTATATCCTGATAAAGTATGAGATAAGCTGTAGCATCTGCTGGTGATGAGCTGAAGGCTCTAAAAGGCAGCCTTTCACCTATATCTTGGGATGCTTGAGTCTTCTCTGTGGGGAATGTGTTTGAACAGACTCTTCTAGGTATTGGAGCAGAAAATGAAATTTTTGCTCTGGTCAGTAAAATAGATGCTTGAAGGCAAGTTTCACTGGGGGGTAAGCAGCACCAGCCTTACAACTTATCTGAATGTGTCTTTTAAAAAACAAAGCTTTCCTGGTACACTAACTGCACGGTTTCTTATTTCATTCCAGAGTTTGTGTGAGAAGTATAGTGATGTGGTGTTCATAGAAATTGACGTGGATGATGCCCAGGTATGGTCCAGGGTAATGCTGAGAGAGGGCAGCTAATGAGCTCCACACAAGTGACAATGAAGAACTCTTTTTAAAATGTCCTTGCAGATACTGAAAAAAAATGAGGTATTACCTCAACTTTGAGAAGCAGAGAGAAGCGTTTAGCACTTTCACTGGGAAGAATGAATTTTTAGAGGACGCCTGAACAGAACAAACTAGTTGTCTGGGTTGTCTGCACACTTGAAGCCCTATGGCATTGTTGGATAACTTGGGAATACTGACCCTCTGCTTTGGGAAGGAGTGTTAGTCTAAGGCCTTAAGCTGCTTTGATGCAATCTTCCCTAAAACTAATGGCTCACAACTGTCTGGTCTCTCCACTGTTCTTGGCACTGTTCCCTCTTTCATGTCTTGAATTAAGAGCAATAAAATGTCTGCTGTGTGGCAGTTCCAGCAGTGTCAAATAGGTACTTGAACAACATCAGGTTGAAACATGAGAGTTGCCATAAGGCTCTTGAGCCTTACAAATAGTCACCTGTGTTTTGATGCAGAGGTCTGTTTTTTTCCAAACACAGAGTACAGGTATAATAAAGGTGGTTTTGCTGTTGCATGGATTGAATGCTGACGGGAGGATCTTTCAGGCTTACTGTGGGGAGATATTAGCACTGCACTGTCTCTGCTAGTGATGGACCAGAATGTCCAGAAATGCTTTTGCTTAATTTTGAGCAGCAGTGGCTTTGCCCTATCACCTAAACAGGCTAATGGGTTCTGAATTTAACATCCTTCAGACATGCACAGCTGAAGATTGTTTTCTGTCTCTTCCAGGACGTTGCTACACACTGTGATGTGAAGTGCATGCCAACGTTCCAGTTCTACAAGAGTGGGAAGAAGGTAGGCTCTGCTCTTTTGGAGCTGGAGCAGGCAAGCTAAACACTTGAAAGAAGACTGGAAGTGTTAGACTACCTAGCCTGCTTTCTCTTGATAAATGTATCTGGGGCACCACTATCATTAAGACTTCTGAGAGTGAGCCAGTTCATCTTAGTGATGCAGGAAATGTAACATGGACCAGCAGTTAAGTGACAAAGCAAACACTGGTGTTTGCAGGCAGTGAACTGAGATTGTTAGTCAGTCTTACAGGCAGAGCTTCATGAGAGATTAGTGGGGTTAGATGTTTGGGTTAAGACTGCTAGTCTGTCTGCCTAACACCCTGCTTTTTACTGACCTTGGTTAGTATTTGCTCTCTGGATGCAGCTCGTGTTCAAGCAGAGGCATGACTATATGTGCCTGTGGAGTCCCCACCCACCCAACAGGTCTCTAACACGTGGCTGAATAGACACACAGCTGAAACAACTCCTTGGATGTTTTTACATAGAAGCTGTGTAACCTGTGACGCGGAGGTCCTGTTCCTGTCAGAGGACTGAACAAACCTCTTGTACCTACTCTGCCAAGAGGTGGATGAGAAGGGCTGCAGACCATGCTCTGACAGGGTAGTGGGCTGCCTGTGCAGGGTAGTTGTGAATGGCTATCTGCCTGAACTAAAGAATTGCTGAGCTAGATGTGTTACCTTGGGCTTTTTAGCTTGCTAAGCAGGCTGAAGGTAGGCTTTTCTAAAGTAGAACAATGCCTGGATGGAATTTTCATGGATGAAGGCAAGGGAATTGCACCTGAAAAGCACGTGTCAGATGTTGGGTGACCTTTGGTTCAAATCAATGTGGGGCCAAATCATGACTAATAATGAACCTCTGACAGTTTCTCAAGGTAAACTTTCACAGCTTCATAATGTAATTGGAAGAATTATGATTGTGATGTGACAGTGTGTGAAGGTGATGGCCTTTAATTTTGGGTGACCTTGGTAGTTCTCTGGACACATGAGTTACCAAGCAAGCAATTTCATGGCGTGTACTCTGCTCTGTACCTTGCCACCCCTGTAGGTGCTGGAAGACAGAGCCACTGTTATTGACAAAAATCTTACCTTGATCTTTCTGCTGTGTAAACTGCAACAAGGACAGTTTGCACAGGAGAAGCCAGGCTGAGGGACAGGTCACTTGGAGCAATCTTTCCATAATTACATTGGTAAGGGTCCTGAGCAACCCAGAGTAACTTTGAGCTACCCTGCCTGCGGTGACCTCCAGAGCCTCTTCAGGCCTGTAGTTGAGTCTTACGCAGCACTGGTTCAGGATCAGGTAGACTCTTGTCCCAGTTTTTGCATTGGTTGCATGGGGGATGAATAGATGAACATCTGCAAAATACTCCCTGTTTCAGGGGTGAAAAAGTTTTAATCTTAGAATTGAGTAGGTGTGTATGTGTCTGGATGCTGTGCAACTCATGTTATGAAGCATTGAATGCAACAGTTCTAAAAATCAATCTCTCTTTACAGGTGCAGGAGTTCTCTGGGGCCAATAAAGAGAAGCTGGAAGAGACCATTAAAAGTCTAGTCTAATCTCCAGCCATGGATACATGGAAGCATGACTGCTTCGGCTAAATTATAGCCTGTAACTTTTCTACTTTAAAAAAAAAACCTAAACAAGGTAGCTAGTTTAACTGGTGGAAACTATCCTCTTGGTCTATGTAAATGAGTACAATAAAGTGTAAATTCTTCACTTTTGGATATTGCCCTGTGTTTGAAAATCTGAGGAAGTTTGTAATGTCATCAAGGTGTCAGTTCTTGCTGTCTTCAAGGAGTGCTGTGTGGATACAGGTGTTCGTGCCATGTGCAACCTGATCTATTACTGGGTTGTTGCTGGGGATGGAAGTTTTGTTGCATGGGATAGCAGTGATGGTTGCTTTAGGAGAAGTCACTCAGGTGGCAGTCACGAGGCTGTGATCTGAGGAGTGGCAGCCTGGCTTGCAGATACAGAAAGGGGAGCTCAGGAGCTGTAGAAAAGAGGGTGATGACTGGGTGGGGTAGGTTCTTTCTTTTGTTACCTCTCTTTATCTTAAAGAATCTCTTAAAATTTGTAAAGCTTAGTTTTAGACTTCAGAGCTAAGATTTGGCTGTGTACTAAACATCAGTGTGTATAATGCCAGTCCTACGATGGAAGTGTAAGGTAGGACTTGGAGCTGGTGCCTTTTTGCCTTTTCACTTTCACCTTGCCACTGGTGTGCCTTCTGGTTCAACTAGTAGCAAAGTATGTTTAGTGTCTGAGTTGGGCTGCCTTCTTCCTAGGCAATAGTCTGGAACAAATGACTGAAGAGGTAGAACTTGTAGTCTCCTTAAGCCCAAGATAATTTAGATATGTGTTCTTGTCATCTTTGTTTGACTGTAGTATTACGTTCTTGGAACATACTGGACACTTCTTTGTGCTGGACAGAAAGCTGGACTCTCCAGTCCCCCAAACCTGCATCGGGTTGTCTAGATGCGTGCTGACCTGCCAGCCTCTGTATGCCACACCGCTGCTCTTCCCAGAGTTACCAAGGAGAACTGCTGTGTTTTTCCACCATATCAGACTGGCTTTTTTGTGAGCTTGGGTGTTGTCCTGGGTAAGAATTTGGTAAATAAGGAAGCAGGGCTGTAGCTAGCAGCTATGCCTAATGCTGTGGTTAGGGCTGGGTGAGTGGTGCTGCTCACTGGGTATCACTGATGACTAAGCAAGGCTTCCTGCTACAGTGTGGTGTGAGTAAGCCTCTTGGCTTTGAGGTAGGGAGTTCGTGTGTGACTCAGCCTTACACTCATTTCTCAAGCATGTGTGAATTGCCTGGCTCCTGAGGACCAGGGGGCCTTTAGCAGCTTGCTGCCTGTGTTCCCTATTGGAAACAAGATTTTTCTAGTCCAAGAAGTGACCACACCCTGCATTTGAGGGTGAGCCATCAAGGACCTACTTTGATGTAGGCTCTGTGCTGTTACTGTGCAATGAGGACATGCAGAATGTTTCCTGTGCAGCTCTGGCTGTTTGACTAAGAGGAGTGCAGCTCTGCATTTAAAACGACTGTTCACACAAGTAAGTGGGGAACCACAACCCCAAATGGACCCCCATGGACTGACTTGCAGGGAGAAAATAAGGTGGAGCAAGGAAGTCTGATGTTAATGGTACAATCTGCAAACAAGCATCACTTTTAAAAACAGTTCCTGGGTGGCTAATTTACTTCTGCTGGGCAGTAGCTGGGAGCAAGAAAGGTTTTAAAAGTCCCTGTTGAAAAGTCCATTTTTTTTAAACTTCATCTTTAAGAAATGAAGAAATATTTAAGAAATAAGCTACTACGATATGCCGCAATATGCGGTGTTTCTGTGGAGGCGAGGCCCGATGGGGTTGCCGGCTCCAGGAGGGGAAAGCTGCAGTCAATGGGAAGCACGGCGTGTGTGCTGAGTTTGACGTAATGCTTGGTTTAGTCCCTTAAGATGGCACTCTGCAGCAGCCTTGAAAGATGCAGGTGACAAAGTGCTGACTGGAAATTGGAGATAGGATTGGGAAAGATCAGAAAGACTTAACTCCTTCTGCTGAAACAGGGGGTGCAAAGCAGTTCTTACAAGTGCAGTGAGTCTTCAGCTCCCTGCATGGCGGTACCTTCCTGTTCAGAGAAGGGGCACGTAGGTAGCATGTGATGAAAATGACTTGCACAGCCTGGTTTGAAAGGAGGTGTTCTTCAAGGCTTGGCGCTCTGAGGAATATGCAGTGAGGGTCTGTTAGGTAAACTTCCCCTTCACAGGAACCAGCAAGCGTATTCTCCTCAAATGCGTTGTTATGGCAGATTTTGAGTGTTTGAAGTTAGTCCTTGTCATTACAGGTGATGGAAAGCAAAGCCTAATGGTTGTTACCTGGCTGAGATGTAAGGGGTCTCAGTTCCTGTAGCAAAAGTGCCCCTACTGGGATGGGAGTGCCCCAGTCAGGATGGGAACTGGACCGAATCTTCCAGTGGGGGTTTCAGCCTGTAACAAAGCCTAGCTGTAGCAAATAAAGGTATTTGCCCTAAATGGAACAGGTACAAGTAGCCTTGCTAAAACATGGGCCATATGCCACATGGGTGTTAAGTAATACCCTGGAGAGCTCAGTGGGTGCTTTTTTTTTTAGAATCATAGAATCATAGAATGTTTTGGGTTGGAAAGGACCCCTAGAGGTCATCTAGTCCAACCCCCCTGCAGGAGCAGGGACACCGCTAACTAGATCAGGCTGCTCAGAGCCCCGTCCAACCTGGCCTTGAATGTTTCCAGGGATGGGGCCTCCACTACCTCTCTGGGCAACCTGTTCCAATGTTTCACCACCCTCATTGTAAAGAATTTCTTCGTTATATCTAGTCTAAACCTACCCTGGTTTAGTTTAAAACCATTACCCCTTGTCTTGTCACTGCTGGCCCTACTAAAAAGATATTCCCCATCTTTCCTATAGGCCCCCTTTAGGTACTGAAAGGCCGTAATCAGGTCTCCCTGCAGCCTTCTCTTCTCCAGGCTGAACAAGCCCAACTCCCTCAGCCTGTCCTCACAGGAGAGGTGCTCCAGCCCTCGGATCATTTTTGTGGCC